ACGCGGGCGCGAACTGTGGGCGGGCGGCGCGGGGCCTCTATATGTGTATGTGCATATGTAATTATATTTGTAACTATCGATTTATGTGATATGTGTAAACATACATACATACATACATACATACATACCTACCTACCTACCTACCTACCTACCTACCTACCTACCTACCTACCTACCTACATACATACATACATACATACATACATACATACATGCACATACAGACAGACAGACAGACAGACATACATACATACATACATACATACACACACATACATACATACATACATACATACATACATACATACAGATTGGGTCCACTGCGGAAGGGCGGCGCGACGTCCCGATTCCGTGGTCGGGTCCAGGCGGGCCGGATCAGAGTCGCAATCGGATCCCGCACGGGCGCCGGCTGATCCGACCATGAGAATATGCCGCGCCCATGCGGCAAATGCGCGGCCCAGAGCCCACTGCCCGATTGCCACCAACCCCGCCCGATTGGGACTTGGGCTGCTCCCTTCGGGCTTCGATGGGCCCATCCCCGACTGAGGTTAGGTCGGGCATGTCCCCCTACAGGGAAACGTTGCACGAAAAATGAAGCATGAGCAAAAATGCGCATATCAGCCAGCGTTGACTCCAAGTATACAGGAGGACAGGAGGAGGAGGACGAGAGAAGGATGGGAGGAGGACGAAAGGAGGACGGGAGCAGGACGGGAGGAGAACGGGAGGAGCAAAATCAAGCAAACGCAAGCAAGCAAGCGGAAGCAAGCAAGCGCAAGCGAGCAATAACAAGCAAGCAAGAGCCAGCGATCAAGTGCAAGCAAGGGCACGCAAGAACAAGCAAGCGAGAGAAAGCTCGCAAGAGCAAGCAAGCAAGTGCCATTGGAAAAGGGGGGGGCATTGGAAAAAGGGGGGGGTCCTAAAGACCCATTACTTATGATGAGCTATGACTCCTGTAGGGCAAGCCTATTTGGAGAGAAACGATCAAAACAAGGACTCAACAAAAAACGTCCCCCGACTATTAGTTTAGCTGTTGCTAATATTTCCCCAGTAGGGGGACAGGCAACCTAAGACTGGGGGGAGGGAGGGTTGGGGCTGAGATGCCACGCGAACGGGGATGGGGAGAGGCTGAACGAAACCGACTGACCCCTGGCCTTCCTGGCCTCCTCGCGCCGAGCAGCGCGAAGCACGACGCCAGGACCTGCGGCCGTTCTCGTCGGTCCTCGGGGGCCCACTCTAACCCCGGGGGGCGCTCTCCAGCCGCCGAAGGCCCGAGCTGCGGCCCAAGAGCCGACACCCTCGCGCCGCGGCCCAATCACGACCAGCGGGCTCTTCAAGCACTTTCGACCTCTGCGGGTCCTCTCCTCCTCCTCCTCCTCCTTCTCCTCCTCCTTCTCCTCTCCTCCTCCGCCTCCTCCTCCGCCTCCTCCTCCTCCTCCTCCTCCTCCTCTTCCTCCTCCTCCTCCTCCCCTCCTCCTCCTCCCTCCTCCTCCTCCTCCTACTCCTCCTCCTGGGCCGTCGACGACGACTCGAGATTATTGACGCGGGCCCCAGGCAAGGAGCCCAGACCTCCGCGGGGCCCGCGCTGCGGACACAGACACGACGTCGGACTTCTGCGGGGGCGGGGGGGGAGGAGGAACAGAAGGAGGGAGGGAGGCGGGGCGGAGAGGAGGGGCGAGGAGGAGGAGGAGGAGGAGGAGAAGGAGGACGACGACGACGAAGACAAGGACGAGGACGAGGACGAGGTCGAGGACGAGGAGGAGGAGGAGGAGGAGGAGGAGAAGGACGACGACAACGAGGAGGAGGAGGAGAAGCAGCATGAAGAGGAAGAGGAGCAGGAGGAAGAGGAGGAGGAGGAGGAGGAGAAGGAGGAGGAGGACGAGGAGGAGTGGAAGAAGAAGATGAGGAGGAGGAGGAGGGAGGAGGAAGGAGAGAGGAGGGGGGGGGGACAACGACAAGAGCAAACTGCGCAGTGCATGCACACTCCCAGGCTTCTTGCCGCTGGAGAGAGGGGGGATAGGAGGAGGAGGAGGGCGGAGGAGGAGGAACAGGGGAAGGATGAGGAGGAGGATGGAGAGGAGGGAGGAGCAAGAGGAGGAGGAGGACGGAGGAGCCGGGGAGGGAGGAGGAGGAGGGAGGAGGGAGGGAGGAGGAGGAGGGAGGGAGGGAGGAGGGAGGAGGAGGGAGGGGGGAGGAGGAGGGGGGAGAGGAGGGAGGAGGGGAGGGGAGAGGGGAGGAGAGGAGGGAGGAGGAGGAGGCTGAGGAGAGGGGGGAGAGAGGAGGAGGAGGAGGAGGGAGGAGGAGGGAGGGAGGAGGGAGGGAGGGAGGGAGGGAGGGAGGGATAGAGGGAGGAGAAGGAAGAGGGGAGGACGGGGGGGACCGAGGAAGGCCGAGCGCGTGAAGCACGACGGGTATACGGGCGAGCGCTTGGCTGCGTCCGCCCCTGGAGACCTCGGGGCCACCCGAACACCGAGGCGCGGCACAGGACTTCTCAAGAAAAGAG